TGGAACATATTCTCAAATAAACACTTCTTGGACATATCTCGAAAATTATGAATGAATTTTGATTGTCAATTGAAACATTAATCAATCTAATATTATTTAGAATGCAGAAAATAAGTTAAACTAACTTCATTTTGACGAGAATTTTTTTTTATTTTCATGAAAAATTTGCTGAAATGAGTGAAATTTAAAAAAAACGGTGTATTTTCCAGGATAAAATCCGTACAATCCGTACAATTTGAAAACAAATCCGTACAATCCGTACAATCTGTACAATTTTAGGGTTAAAAAAAAATCAATCCGTACAATCCGTACATTTTGGCCACCCTGTTTATTCTTTATTAATAAATTTAGTGAAAACCACAGAATTTTTCCGGGTGGTTCCATGGCCAAAATGATGGGCAGAGGTATGCCAAATATTTTGCTATTTGTTTTATATCGCGTAGGTTAGCCATTACGGAGGCAGAAGAGGTTTATGTTTTACCTGAATAAAGTTTGACATCATTCTCATGGCTTTAAAGATTCCAACATGATGTTATCATTGCAATACTTTAGTCTATCCATATTTTATGCCCTAACGTGGCAAGATTTTAAAAAATTGTTTTTATCTTTAAAAATTAGAAACTTTATAACACATAAAAATCGAAGGACGAGGATTTCGAGGAGGATCGGACGAGAAAATGAGGAGAATGTGGCTCGGACTAAAAATTGTTGTGGCTGGCCTTCCTACCCTCGTTAAGATGTAATTTCAATGACCTTCTATTTAAAAAAGAGTGGAATGTCCAATTCACAACAGTACCCGTTAAAACTTTAAATAATCAAGAACGACTGTTGTATCCATTTTCAATACTTGAATCTTGATATTTTTAAATGGGGTTTCTAATTATACTACACGTGACAGATAACAGAAAAAATGGATGTATACTGTTGAATTAAACACTTATTTAGTGAAAAAACGATGATATCTTCTACATTATTTATCAAATAAAGGTTTAAAGGGTACTGCTTAAAATGCAGGTTTACTAGTAATTAAAACGACTGCCCCTTTCACCATGGTTTTATCTCATGTCTAATTTTTGTTTTCCTAGTCTGTGTTATACCGAGTCCATAGATCCTAATTCTAGCAAGAAAGCATTATAAGAAAAGTAAAGGTTATTTGAGAAAGGGGATAACAGGAGGGAGGGTTTAATATTTATTTTAATATTCTAAAAGTGTTTGCATTCTAATAGGCTGCTTAAGGTATCTGAATATTTATCTATCTATCTGTATATTCATTATTCATATGATGAGTCATGAATATATCTTAATATAATAAATCCCATACAACAAAAGCGCCAGTATTTAGGCAATATTCAGTAGGGAATGCACTTGACCAAATAAACGAACGTCTAAAATTTAACTTCAACCCTTTTAGTTAGAATGTTACAAATTACAATTAATATTTCTAATATTTTTCTTTCTAATTGGTTTTGTATTTAAGTAAAATAAATAAACTGGTCAAAACAATGCAATTGAAAAAAACTGACTCAGATCAGATTAACGAATCGTGGGAATTTTTACCTAACTCACCTACTTCTCACTATTAATTAATTCTGACCTCTGTACACTTTACATTTACGGTTTAAACAAACTTGTTGTTCTATATGCATAACGGGAATCTGCATAAAATTTCTTTTATGAGATAATTAAGCCTTTTCTTGAAGATAATAGAGAAGTATATAGTTGATAAACACCCACTATTGTAAACAGTACATCTGGCCTTATCTTAGTATTCATTTATAAAACTTTAAATTCTTTAAACCCTGACAAGAAGTCTAGCATTTTATTCTTAACCTTTTAAGAATAGACTATACTGAGCTGAAAACTTTAGAATGGTGGATATCGGGATTAATGCTTAATCCACTCTTTTTCTTAATCTCGAGATTAAATATTGCTTGTTCTCCTCTCTTTTTTAATCTCCAGATTAATTATCCGATCAGGATTAAGGATATCCCATTCTAAAGTTTTCAGCTCAGATCATTTTCAGGATACACTGGATATACTGATCATGTTCAGGATACACTAGATATATTGATCATGTTCAGGATACACTGGATATATTGATCATGTTCAGGATACACTGGATATATTGATCATGTTCAGGATACGCTGGATATATTAATCATGCTTAGGATACACTGGATATATTGATCATGTTCAGGATACACTGGATATACTGATCATGTTCAGGATACACTAGATATATTAATCATGTTTAGGATACACTGGGTATATTGATCATGTTCAGGATACGCTGGATATATTAATCATGTTCAGGATACACTGGATGAGCTTGGATCAGTCCTGGGGAAAAAAAGAAGAGAAGTTGAAGAACTTGTGGAGAAAATAGGATTGTTAAGAGATACTTTAGACTGCACATACACAGGCAGGGGGATAAGAGAAGAAAAAGAACAAACCCTATTAAACCGTTCAACACTCTTATCCAATTTTTCATAACGTTCATTTGTAGGCTAAATAATATAACTACCGGAAATACAGTTTTGCTCAAAAATTGAACAGCATTATAAAATCATAGAAACTTTTTTATTTCATTTGTTTCGATTTACTGACTTTCCCTGGATATCTTTTTTGGTCATGGTTTTAATTTCAAATCTTTCTGAGCAAAGAGCTTTTATAAAACTTTTCCCCTGTTTGAACAGTGGTTCAAACTGGAGGACCTTTTCTTCCTGAGCAGCTTGAATCTAAATGCAAGCTTTCACAACGAGCGCAGCTGCTTCTTACTCTCAGCGATCAAGCTGTGGAGAGTAGACCGACAGCTGCAAAAGCAATAGAAATGTTTGCCTTTGAAAAAATACGACATTTAAAGAAAAAGGTATTCACTTAGCATTATCTCAAATAGTGAATTTAAGTTTCACATTAACATCAAAAATATAATTTTCTTTTCATCCTGGCCAATCTTCAAACTTTTTATTTCAACAAGCATATCCATTGACAAACATCATATTCTTTTAATCCCAAACAAAGGAATTGAGTCTTTATCACAAACTGAAAATTTCGAATTCCTTTTCTTTGCAACCTGATGGTGTAAACCTAGATCATTTGATCTTCGTAATTTGCAGTCTGTATTAGGGAGTGTGACAAAAACTCAATTCCTTTGTTCAAATATCTGATTAAAGGCCAGCACCCTTATACCCTTATACCTTGTACTATAATTTAAAGTAAAATATTTAAGTTGGAGGCAAGCAGTGAAGAATCATCTCCATCCGGGATATCCGGTTCAAGTTCTAGTTCCTGGAGTTCAGAACCTTCACGGATATCTGGTTCTAGTCCTAGTTCTTGGAGAATAGAAGCTGCTGCTTCCTCCGGGTCCAGTCCTATCTCTTGGAGTTCAACGGGTCATGGAACGAGCACTCATGACACAGGAACTGGACAACATTGGTTGCTAGGGTCAGTATATTCCAGACAAGTTTATAGTAGTTGTAATTCTCTGAAACTTTTCTCTCTAGTTAATTATTAAAATTTCTTTTTCTCAATAAAACTATCCACTTACAGGGTGAGTCAAAAAAAAGTGTGATTTGCGGCGCCTGTTACAAAATTGTACATTTTTTGTGCAACTCTCCTGTATATGTATTTTCAATATTTTTAACTTTTTTTGGTACTCCAATGGCCCAAAAAAAAAATCCACGAACCTTTTTCTCTCCCAAAATCAAAAATTCAGAAAAGCAAAAATGTATAAATAAATTATTTCTATCGAAATCTAAAATTTTATAAAGATTGAATCACAGAATCACAGAAAATTTGCAAAATTGTAATAAGAAAATTCTCAATTTTTAGTTCTGGTCTAATTTTGAAGGAAATGTAATTTGAATTGTCTAGTTCCTTTCTCCTTAGTTTATTCTTAAGTATTAAATGTACTCTGTTCATCTAAAACCTTAAGAACCATTGAAAAACTATTTTTCCGTAAAAATTATGCCAGAACTGAAAATTGCGAATTTTCTTATTACAATTTTGCAAATTTCTTTAGATTCTGTGATTCAATCTTTTTGAAATTTTAGATTTCGATAGAAACAATTCATTTACACAATTTTGTTTTTCTGAACTTTTGGTTTTGAGAGAAAAAAAGGTTTGCGGATTTTTTTTTGGGTCATTCACATTGAAATACCAAAAAAAATTAAAATTTTTCAAAAAATATTAATAAAAACCCCGTACAGGAGAGTTGCACAAAAAAAGGTACAATTTTGCAACAGGTGCCGCAAATCACACTTTTTTTTGACTCACCTTGTACTTTTCCAATTAAGTATCTTTAATTATCTGTTTCTCAATTAAACCTTTTTCCCTCTAGCTATTTCACAATAACAATTCTCTCTTTAGATCTCAACGCGGGGATAAATCTGAATCTGGAGAATTCCAGCAATACTTGGTTACAGAACTCACAAGGATGGAACAGAATATTATTGACTTCCAGAACCAACATGACACATTCTGCTCAGGTGATAACATTTTTTTAAAAACTTTAGACAATTTTTTAAAACTTTGGTGTCCTGTGAAAATGTGTATACATCTATAGTACTGTTTGGACTTCTTTAATTTTTATTAATCTTTTTCTTTGCTTTAAATCTCAAATTTAAAATTTCTTCAATACAGAGTTTCGGTTGAGTCTAGAAGCTGAGGTTGAGAGGAGAAGCCAGGACTTAAGCGTACTTGCTAACCGCCTAGCTGGTCTCATAGATAACCAGGCTAAGGTAAGTGTACTTGCTAACCGTCTAGCTGGTCTCATAGATAACCAGGCTAAGGTGAGTGCACTAAAGCTAACCGCCTAGCTGGTCTCATAGATAACCAGGCTAAGGTGAGTGCACTATAGCTAACCGTCTAGCTGGTCTCATAGATAACCAGGCTAAGGTGAGTGCACTAAAGCTAACCGTCTAGCTGGTCTCATAGATAACCAGGCTAAGGAGAGTGCACTATAGCTAACCGTCTAGCTGGTCTCATAGATAACCAGGCTAAGGTGAGTGTACTTGCTAACCGCCTAGCTGGTCTCTTAGATAACCAGGCTAAGGTGAGTGTACTTGCTAACCGTCTAGTTGGTTTCTTAGATAATCTAGGCTAAGGTGAGTGTACTTGATAATTGCCTAGCTGGTCTCATAGATAACCAGGCTAAGGTGAGTGTACTTGCTAATTGCCTAGCTGGTCTCATAGATAACCAGGCTAAGGTGAGTGTACTTGCTAATTGCCTAGCTGGTCTCATAGATAACCAGGCTAAGGTCAGTGCACTAGAGCTAACCGTCTAGCTGGTCACATAGATAACCAGGCTAAGGTGAGTGTACTTGCTAACCGCCTAGCTGGTCTCATAGATAACCAGGCTAAGGTGAGTGCACTAAAGCTAACCGTATAGCCGGTCTCAAAGAGTGAGTGCACTAAAGCTTACCGCCTAGCTGGTCACTTAGATAACCAGGCTAAGGTGAACGCACTAGAGCTGGTCTCTTAGAGAACAAGACTACAGTGAGTGTACAAACCAACTGCCTAACTGGTCAGATAGATAACCAGGCTATGGTGAGGGCAGCTGCTAAACATCTAGCTGGTCTCATAGATAGTCAAGCTAGGGTGAGTGAAATAGCTAGTTGTCTTACTGGTCTCATAGGAAACCATGCTCAGGTTCAGATGAGAATGTGCCTTAACTTAAAAGACAAGAGGTTTGGGTTTATACGATCTGATGATACTGAAATAACCTTTGATTATACACCTGAAGTTTAAACTGCTGTAGGCTGTTGGCAAGCTGGAAGGGTTGGCCAGTGATCAGATGTATGCTGAGCAGAAGTGGGTTCAATCCTATCTCAAGAATATCAGGAATGAAGCTGACCGTCAATCCACTAACCTTCAGGTCAGTAGCTTGGAGTAGAAAGGTTTAACATTGATATGTGTATCAATACGCCAAAATATGAAAAACTAACTTCTGTATAATTTACAGGGTTTTATACCACAAACGTTACATAACAATAAAAAGCCAACCATTTCAATACATTTACAATTATAAAATTCGATTTGACTGACACTAATATTTTAATAACAAAAAATATTTCCCTTTTAACTTACAGCTTCTTTTTATTTGCGTGTTTATTTGTCATCTCTGTTTGTATGAAAGCTTGGTTATAATAAACTGTATAGAAAGTCATCATCATTGTATTATTTTATACGGCCACCACATTATGTATTTATCATTCTTTAACCCATTTAATGCCTTCGATCACAAATTGAATTTTTTATTAAAGGTGCCGCAAATCACACTTTTTTTTACTCACCCTNATTAAACTATCATGAAGATATGATCTATTATTGATCACATTAGTATGATAATATTCAAAACAAACAAGCATAATTTTTATTAAACTATCATGAAGATATGATCTATTATTGATCACATTAGTATGATAATATTCAAAACAAACAAGCATAATTTTAATTAAACTATCATGAAGATATGATCTATTATTGATCACATTAGTATGATAATATTCAAAACAAACAAGAATAATTTTAGTATTTTTCCAGGGTTTTTTAACAGAGAGCTTTCTACCAAGTATTAGAGTAATGAGTGCAGGCGTTCAAGAAATATCTACACAGGTAGACGCCAGACGGACAGACAGACATGTGCAAATTTAAATTACTTTACAACCGGACATATTGACAAGTAGACATGTGAAAATTTAGTTAACAATACATCAGGACATATTGACACCCTACCATGTGCAAATTTATTCAACTATACATAAGGACATATTGACAAGTAGACATGTGAAAATTTAGTCAACTTTACATCAGGACATAGTGACAAGTGGACGTGTACAAATGTAGTCAACTAGAAATCAGGAAATAAAGATATGCATGGTAAAATTTAGTCAACTAGACATCAGGACATATGGACAACTAGACAGTCAGGACAACAACACAGCCATAGAACTAGACAACTAGACAAAAAACCAATTACAAAACTTCAGAACTCGACGACTAGATATTAAGATTTAAGATAACAAAACAGTCGTATGATTATTGCAAGAGACAATTTCTATTTGGAGAAGGTTTGTGAGGACGGGCCTTAAAAACCTGTTTAAATCAAATTAACTAATAAGACTGATCAGAATCGAATCTTTCCTTATTTGTCCATCAATTCATTTTCAGTTATTCGTGACACATCTACAAAAGGAAGCTCATAGATTCATTTCAAATTTAGTTAATCCAAGATTGATTTAATTATAACAGTGGAATTTTTATGATATAAGAACCTGTCCAATCTCTCCGCTAAGTTTGTCACTTTAACATCTGAAAAATTTATCCTATAATATTCTTAGGTATAAAGTCAGGGGTGTATAATTTAAAGTTTTTTTCTTCTTTCCCCTGAAAAATCATATTTTTCCCAATTTTAGCAAAGAAAACCCTAAAAACATTCCTACTTTTTCAAGAAAATATACACCCCTGGATAAAGTAACGGTATTTACAGTACATAAACTGAATATCACAATTATACAAAGAAATTTCAATTTTTGTTTAGATCTCGGGTTTACAGAGTACACTAGTCCAGAGTATAAATACAGGCAGTAATCAACTATTTGCATTTCTCGACAGGCAGGATAAACAATCAACTAATCAATTTAAAGAAAACGAAAAGCTTTTATGGCACTTCGCGCTCCTTTTCAGAATTTTAAATCATATGTTTTTTTTCGATTGATTTTCCCAGCAAGCAATTTTTGATGAATTTTTTTCAAGGGTGAATTTAAACTTAACTTGAGAATTGTGAGGCCCCATATCTAACTTAATCTCAAATCAAACAGACCAAACCAACCAAACTTCAACAGAAGGAGAAAATGTAAACTCAGATGGATGAACTAACGGAAATTATAGGTTCATTAATGCATTTTAATAGAAAAACCCAATAGTTTTGCTCTACTTTTATATTTGGTTGTTTAGTCAGAAAAGGTTGATACTGGGAGCAAAGGATAATATTCTTAACCTCAGTAAACTTCAAGTTCATCATATTCAGGTAAAAAAAGATACTTTTTTAGATGTATACATTATAGTACGGATTTAGAGCGCTTCGCGTCTTTTTTTTCTAGTTTTAATTCTAGCTTTGAAATTAGCTTTTCAATCCGTCATTTTTTTTGTACATCATACAACTTAAAATGTGAAGACTTTTTCTACCAGTCATAAACCTTCCAACAAAACATTTGGACCGTTTGACGTTTAAAAAAACTAACAAACCAACTAACAGACAAACAAACGAAATGTTTCTGTTAGAAATAACGATATTCTAGTTATAAAAAGATATAAAAGTTATGATTAAATATATTTTGTGAGATAAATAAAGAAATATGCATAATTGAGGTGCTGGGAGGTAAACAGGAAGATCTGAGAAAGGCTGAGGAAGGATTTCAATCTAAACTGAAGGAAGCACACAGGAAGATGGAGAGCTTACTTTCATCCGTCATGGCAGAGTACTCCCAATTCTCCAGGTATACCCGGAGTACCTAATATTCTTTAAACAAACCAGATGCTTAGCTAATCTTTCAATCCAATATACATTTGCATAAATACAGTGATAACCAGAAAACAATTAAAGGAAGACGACATTATAGCAATACTTAAGTGTCTTTGATGTTGTTACAAAGCAAATGGTTTTACTATACACTTATTAAATCACTAATTTAGTCAAATGGGTCTGTTTACACTGCACAATTGCAGTGTCTCATGCTCATTGGACTTTCTAGTTATAACTTGATCCTTAAAGTCGTATTCCTCCTTCAGAGTTTTCTGGTTGTCACTGTACTTTGCATTTTTAGGTATTAATTGGATAATTCCAATCTGCTGAGGAGAATATTTATTCCCTGAAAAGTCTAGATTAAGATTTATCATTTTTGTTCAGTACCTTGAACAGTACCAGCTCAAGTACCTCAGCAGGACTTCAATCCTTGCAGTCCAGATCTCAGGAGATTGATTCTTCTCTTAACCTAGCAGTTACACAGGTACTAACTTACGGTACTAACCTAGCAGTTACATAGGTACTAACTTACGGTACTAACCTAGCAGTTACACAGGTACTAACTTACGGTNTGACACTAACAAATATAATTAATATTTTACCCACAAGATAATCTTGAAGTATAAATGTTTTGGTTACAGGCTGAGGAAGAAGTCTGACACTAACAAATATAATTAATATTTTACCCACAAGATAATCTTGAAGTATAAATGTTTTGGTTACAGGCTGAGGAAGAAGTCTGACACTAACAAATATAATTAATATTTTACCCACAAGATAATCTTGAAGTATAAATGTTTTGGTTACAGGCTGAGGAAGAAGTCTGACACTAACAAATATAATTAATATTTTACCCACAAGATAATCTTGAAGTATAAATGTTTTGGTTACAGGCTGAGGAAGAAGTCTGACACTAACAAATATAATTAATATTTTACCCACAAGATAATCTTGAAGTATAAATGTTTTGGTTACAGGCTGAGGAAGAAGTCTGACACTAACAAATATAATTAATATTTTACCCACAAGATAATCTTGAAGTATAAATGTTTTGGTTACAGGCTGAGGAAGAAGTCTGACACTAACAAATATAATTAATATTTTACCCACAAGATAATCTTGAAGTATAAATGTTTTGGTTACAGGCTGAGGAAGAAGTCTGACACTAACAAATATAATTAATATTTTACCCACAAGATAATCTTGAAGTATAAATGTTTTGGTTACAGGCTGAGGAAGAAGTCTGACACTAACAAATATAATTAATATTTTACCCACAAGATAATCTTGAAGTATAAATGTTTTGGTTACAGGCTGAGGAAGAAGTCTGACACTAACAAATATAATTAATATTTTACCCACAAGATAATCTTGAAGTATAAATGTTTTGGTTACAGGCTGAGGAAGAAGTCTGACACTAACAAATATAATTAATATTTTACCCACAAGATAATCTTGAAGTATAAATGTTTTGGTTACAGGCTGAGGAAGAAGTCTGACACTAACAAATATAATTAATATTTTACCCACAAGATAATCTTGAAGTATAAATGTTTTGGTTACAGGCTGAGGAAGAAGTCTGACACTAACAAATATAATTAATATTTTACCCACAAGATAATCTTGAAGTATAAATGTTTTGGTTACAGGCTGAGGAAGAAGTCTGACACTAACAAATATAATTAATATTTTACCCACAAGATAATCTTGAAGTATAAATGTTTTGGTTACAGGCTGAGGAAGAAGTCTGACACTAACAAATATAATTAATATTTTACCCACAAGATAATCTTGAAGTATAAATGTTTTGGTTACAGGCTGAGGAAGAAGTCTGACACTAACAAAGATCTTCTTCAGAAACATCAAACTCAAACACAGGTTAGATTATCAATCAAGAGATAACTGATACTGTTTAAAATCCGAAACGATACAAAAGGACAAATTTGAACGTGTCTAATATCGTCAGCTAAAACTATTCCTTAGGATTTTCAATTCTACAGACTGTTTCTTCTGCTTTTGGATTGCTTCTTTCGCCATGAGAAAAAGTCATTTAGAATGAAAACGAAATTTTTAAGAGAAATTTGACCAGGCAACCCAAAAAGTTTATATATCTCCTCCCCCTCATCATTATGACATAACCCTGAAACAACCAGGCCCAGAAAGGGGAAATGTGGTGCCTTTTTTCAATTTCAATCCATGAATGAATTTTTTTTAATTCGATGATTGATTTATTTTTTCACTTTGAGTTTAAAGATTATCATAAATAAATAAAAGGTGAAACCCATAAATTTTTCTAGTTTAAGAAAATATTTAGGCGAAGAACTTTTTGTGTATTAGGTCGATATCAGGGCATTTCCTGAACTTCTTAAGTCTTTTTATTTAAGGAAACGCATTCATCTCTCCGCCAATTCAACAACGAGCTCGAGGCAATGGCGGAGATAAAACGGCAGATAGACACAACTCATACGGCAGACAGACAAGCAGACATGCAGGCAAGTGTATTGAATCATCAGAATTAAGAATCTAAATCAAAATAGTATTGTTTGAGCCATGAGACAGATTTCATCCTTTACGTTAACCTTCCTCTATGAAGATTTTTCGATTCTATTAGTGGAAGTGGCTCAGTTTCATTTGCCATAATACTTTTGCCATAATTACATTTGCCATAATACATTTGTCATAAGTAGCACTTGCCATAAATTACACTTGCCATAAGTTACACTTGCCATAATGGTTACACTTGCCATAATTACACTTGCTATAATTACACTTGCCATAATTAAAATTTGGTTAGAATTAACAAACATATAGATATATATTTTTTAATTACAAATTAAATACAAATTACAATCTAATTCAGAGACAGTTCGAATTCGGGTTCGAATTGTAACTTTGCACATTTTAGCCGAACATTTCCAATAATTTACTTCTGTAGACAAGGCATTGTCTACATAGGTGTAGTTGTTGTTGTCTCGAACTATTGGTTTACCCTTACTTGTGGTCTCAATAGTCCTCCATTGTGAGGAAATATGGAGCTGAACTTGAGTCAACTAGTCTGCTAAAAACAATGAGAAAACTAAAGTTGGGAATTTTCATGCTAAAATTTCCCGCATTTGCAATAAAAAAGAGAGATTTATATCTTTTTAAAAATTAGAAAATTATGACAAAAGTAATTATGGCAAGTGTAATTATGGCAAGTGTAACCATTATGGCAAGTGTAACTTATGGCACGTGTGACTTATGGCAAGCGTAACTTATGGCAAGTGTTACTTATGGCAAAGATATTATGGCAAGTGTAATTATGGCAAAGATATTATGGCAAATGAAACTGAGCCGTGGAAGTTACTTCTGTTAATCCTATTGACATTCAATTTACCAAAGTTTTCTTTTCTTTTTAGTTAAGGAATTTTATTATTCCAAAAATGCAAAAAAAAAATAAGAAACAAATAATTCAAACGATTTACAGGGATAACCAGAAAACTCTGAAATAGGAAGATGACATTTAGATGCTTGTAATAATTTTAAATAGTCCAATGAACATAGCAATTGAGCAGTGTAAAAGTTTCTAGTACAACAATTTGCTGAGTAACAAAAGTGCTATAATGTCGTCTTCATTTTCCATTGTTTTCTGGTCCTCATTGTAGAAAACTGTTTTGTATAGAAACCTTAACACCAACTCTATACTTCTAATAAAAAGTATAATAATTATACTGTTCTCTAGGCTGCATGTAAGAATGTGGCTGGGTTTACTCATCTACTCTCTAGTGAACTTCATGCTCGAGATGCTGATCTAGCTAATTACTTCTCAAGGGGCAGAAATTAGATACGACTTGATCCCAGTAGAACAATATGGTACGGGAGATAAACCTTCAACCCTAGGAAGAAACCAGATCATTCTTCATTTCAAGATAAAAACTTAAAAAGTATTCCTAAATAAAAAGAGACGAAAATTAAACTGGGAAACTATGAAAAATCACATAATTCCTATGGAATTATGAAACAGTAAGTTGAGTTAACCAAAAAACTGTCTTCCTGAAACCAGATTTCAAATAATCAAAATGGTGGACATTTATAATGCGGGAAAGATTTTCCCGCTAAAAAGAAGGAGGATAACCTGGTGAAAAAAGTTAACATGGGTAACCTACTAAACTAGTAAACTTTATTATCTCCGCTAACCAAATACATAATTTTAAACTTTTTTACTTCGAGTAGAGTCAGAGTTTTGAAACACTAAAAACGGCTAGTCTGGGATCCATGGGATCTAATTTTACGGTTTTTTGTTACATCTCTTGACATGAGACCAGATTCAATAACTATATGTGGTTAAACCACATATAGTATTGGTTCAACCTAGTCTACATGTTTAACTACTTGTCACTTTACAACATTTTTTTAATTCACAGATTCATAAATTAATGAAGCTAGAGAAAAAAAAGAGTACAAACTTGGTTCAGAGACAAAACCTCTATGTGATAGAAGGTTCCAGTTTAAATATTTTCTAAAGAAAAAGTGTCATTTTAAGTAACCTTTCACAAGATGGCAACAGTTATATCCATAAACCCTTTATCTGATCATAATGTGGAAGATATTATTGCTTTTATAGGGTTAAAAGTTTTAAGTCCTATTTCTTTACCTGCCGTAAAAATACGCAATTCACTTTTGTAGAGAAACCACGATTGAAGTTGATCAGTTTGAAAATAATAAAGATTAAAATGTAATTCATACATTTGCAGATAAAACTTTCAGGGTACCGTTGTGAATCGGGCATTACCACCTTTGCATGGAGGGTTATTTTAAATAACGTTTACTGTCTCTTTAGTAAAACTATACATTTAAATTGTACATTACATTAGTAAAATTAAAAATGTCTTTAAAAAGCCTAACAGAGTGAGGAAATTTTTTCTTTTACCAGGGGGGGGGGTTGATTTTCAACACTATATACAATACATTTTACTTATACCCCAGATGAAAGCTTTTATGGAAATATATTAAATGGACTATAGCGAAGGAACATTAAAGTTTGTTTTCGTGTCTATTCTTTAAATGTTTTCTCAGATTACATGCATTAGTGGCAGCATATTCACAATGGTTGCATGGATATCTTAGTCCTTCATGTAACGTTTTAACATGTCTATTAAGACTACTTGTGGTAGTAGCAGCATAACTGCACTGTGTACATGGATATCTAACCCCAGAATGCTTGATTTCAATATGTTTCTTCATGTTACTTGCAGCAGTAGTAGCATATTCACAGTGTTCGCATAGATAATTTTCTCTTTCATGTCTATTTTTTATATGTTTCTTAAGATTAAATGGATTAGTGGCAGCGTATTCACAATAGTCACAAGGACATCGCATTCCCTTGTGTAACTCTCTAATATGTCTCTTTAAACTACTTTCAGTAGTAGCAGCGTATGCACACTGAGCACATGGATACTTCACACCATTATGCTTATTTTCAATGTGTTTTCTCAAGTTGCCTACAAAATTGGCAGCGTATTCACAATGATTACACTGATATTTCATTCCTTCATATCTAATCTTTCTGGGGCTCTTAGGCTTAAAGAAAAGAAAATCTCCGCCATCACTAGCAATCTCTCCTGAAAGAAATAGAAGTCGTTTCATAACTTACCGTTCCTAGTATTTAATTCGTAATCAATTAGTCGAGTAATTCTGGAAAAAAACTAAAACATTTAATATTCACTTAGTGCCAAAATCCTAGGATGAGTATTTACGGTCCAGATTTACGGTCTACGATATCTTAAGATAGGTCGGGTTGAACAATTTCTATGCCGATGGCCAAATATTCTGTAGGTGCAAATTTTACATTGTTGATTGGGGGGGGGGGGGGCAGCAATATTGAGTTTTCCCCATAAACCTCTAATTCAAGTCAAATAAGGGTCGGCCGCTAAAGATTTTTTTTTTGAGAGAAGTTTCTTTGCCGTAGTAATGCTGCGTAGAAGTTCTGAAATCCAACGGAAAACTGATCATTTCCGTGAAAACACTCAGAAAAGGTATATTTTATACACGAATCAGATACGATACAAATGCGCTTGTGACGCCCCCGAATCTTTGATTAATGGTCGATAGAATCTGTTGATATAACTAGATTATCCTATATCCGTTGTAATATCTTGGGAAAAAAAGCTGTTAACTATACGTTTTTTTACTTCTCAAGTTTGTACATTCATCTCTTCTCTACTGTAATCTTGGTATAGAAAGGTCAGATAGGAAATCCGGAATACATAATAATAAAAATGATCACTTACTTTTTACTTCTGTACTTTCCATTTTCACATCTTCTTCTTTTATGAGAACTGTACAAATATCTTCTACTTCTACAGAAGAGCCTGGAAGAGTATCTTCAGTGATGGAAATTGTTGTTTTTTTTATCACAAAAATCCTCTCTGCCTTTATATCTTGTTTTATATTTTTAGTCATTCCATCTAAACTTTAATCAAATACTTTTCCTTTCAAGTGTTTACTTACAATGAGAATAAGGTTTCAATGTTGTTACATTTTATACACATCTATATATAAATTTGGCTTGTCTGTCTGTTTGTTTGTATCCAATAAACGTCAAAACAGCTGAACCGATCGGGCCCAAATTTGTTGTGGGACATCACGTGACCACAGGGAAGGTTTATGAATGATAAAAGAAAAAAAAATGTGTTTTAAAGGTTTTTAATTTTGTAAATAAAATTTAAATTCTTGAAAATCCGCAAATTTTTTTTAAAATTAGCAAAATTTTCTTCTTCTTTGTTTTTAAATGTAAACAAAAAGAACATGTTCACAATTTAAATAGAAGATGGGCGCGAACGCCCTAAAAGCCTAGAAAGAAGGGCGCGAAGCGCCTTGAATTTCTAGTTTTATACATTTTAAATAAAGTTAAAGTAAAAAAACTATTAAAAAAAAGACATTTTTAAAAATTCCATCTTTCTTGTGAAGCAATTGCTTATTAATTTTGAAAATATATATATTCAATACTTCTTATTATGTAATATTGACTTGGCATTTTAAAATAGTTTATCTAAGATAGTCCGTAAAGAATTGGTAAAAACTTTACCTTCAACTGCTGTATTTTCCATCGTATGTTCTTCCTTAATCAAATCTTTATCTTTCATCTTTGTAACCTTTATTCTCAATTCTTTGTTCAATGTTCATAGTCTGAACCATTTAATCTGAAAAATACCTTTTTCATATTCTAATTTGTCAGAAAATAGAGTTAAAAATTTAAATAATTCTTTAATCTTGATTTATCAGGTAGCCAACTTATTTATGCTGAGAATAAAAAAATTACATTTCTGAAAATGTTCAAAAATTATGGAGAACAGTAGTTAGAACTTTGAGTTGTGAATCTTAGGATCAAACAATAAACTCCATATTATGCATTTTACGGACTAAAATAATGCCTCTTAAATGTGAAGATTTTACTCAACAAGGATAACTTAATTTGAGGTATCATGTAGTGATCCTCAAATTTAAAAGTGCCAGTATTGGATATCAAGATCAAGTGACTTGTTCAAGTTTCGATTTAAGAAAATACAATGCAAATCAATTTTATGAATAATATCACTTTTTATGTTTTCTCTCTTTGTGAACTCTTAGATTGCTACTCGCACCTGCAGCATAGTCACACTTGTCACAGGGATATTTTATTCCTTCGTGCTTATTTCTAATATGTCTATTCAAACCACCTATTGCAGTGGCAGCATAATTACACTTGTCACAGGGATATCTCACCCCTTCGTGTTTGCTTCTGATATGCTGTTTCAGATTACTTCCCGTAGGAGCAGTAAAGTCACACTGTTTACAAGGATATCGTTTTCCTTTATGTTTAAATTCATTGTGCCTGTTCAGGTTATCGGCCCTAGTTGCAACATATTCACATTGACCACAGGGATATCTTACTCCTTCATGTTTACTTCTAATATGCTTTTGCAGACTGCTTTTGGTACTAGTAATATATTGGCACTGGTCACAAGAGTATGTCACTCCTTTGTGTTTACTTTCAATATGATTCTTCAAATGATGTTTTAGTGTTCCCACATAATCACATTCCCTACAAGGATATCTAAGAATACAATCAAGTTCATTCTCATTTATTTCATTTGATTCTGATTCAGGAAAGTTTTCTTCGTCTTCTACGATTTCACCTGAAATTATAAAAAAATGTTTAATACGCTATAGGTTTTTTTTCTTTTTAATAAATAATATATTTTTATTCTAACAATTTTTCATAAACTCATACTCCTAATAAACTTATACTTTGTGGTAAGAATATATTTAACATGTTAATTCTGTTTAGCGTAGATTTATTGGTTTTGAATTCATGTTAAGAAAAAATATCAAATATTCCGAAGAAACTTTATCAGATAGATACAAGTTTATCAGATAGATACAAGTTTAAATAATTGTGACTATCAATAAATTTATCAACCCAAGAGCCAATAAGTATGAATATTGAATTTTGTTAATTGTAAGCTGTGTCAAATGTTTCATCTCAAATGAAGAAAATAGCAGATTTACTAACACCAGTTTACTTACTTTTTATCTCTTCCTTTTCTGTCTTCATGTCTTCTACCTGTACAAAAACTGTATCTTCTACAGCCGAATTTGGAAGAATATAATCTTGTGATGTTGAAGATGGAAGAATGTCCTCTTTAATATATTCTTCTTCTTTCATCTTCACTAAATTCATAAAAATTTATATTTGAAATGATTTACGATGCTTATAAATTAGTACAGTGAGAATCAGAAAACTCTAAAATTTAAGGTCGAATTTTAATAGTTAAATAAACACGAGAGAAAGCTATTGTGCAGTGTAAACAGGCCCATTTCAATTAATAAGTGATTTATAAGTATTAGGTAGAACTATTTGCTTCGTAACATTGCACTTCATTATTGCAGTATTCTGGTAACTTATTTTAATTACCTTTTAACTCTATATTTTCCTTCTTTACACTTTCTTCCTGTAAATATATATTAACTGTCTTCTCTTCAATACGGATTTCTTCCTTGATGACAACAATCTTGTCTTCAATTTGTTCTCCCATTTTTTCTGGAATTTTATTAACTGTCTTCTCTTCAATACAGATTTCTTCCTTGATGACAACAATCTTTTCTTCAATTTGTTCTCCCATTTTTTCTGGAATTTTAGTATTTCTATATTGTTGATTATCTCTTGATATGAGGAAACATTATAACATTGATAAACATTATATATAATCAATAAAATGATTTAAATGTGTGAATTTGATCTACAGGGTTACTCACAAAAGTTGAGACTTCAAAGACAACTGTACGGAATTTTTAACTATCTGTTTCTTTATGTTCAGAATTCTTTTTGAATGTAAGTTTGTTTATTTCTTTCTCAAATCATTAAATAAGCCAATAAAAGACTATATTGGAGGCAGAAGACTTAACCATGGGATTTTCATATAATGTGAGTTTTATGTCGTCTTTACTATCTCATCTTTGTGGGTGAGACCTGTATCTAACCTCTAGCAAAAACTGTGTAGTGTCCTAGCTTAAATAAAGTATAGAGGGTTACTTACAAGGAATGAAACTTAAGAGTCTGCAGCGTATAATAAATAAAATAAATCTTAATACTTAAAATGATCTGTAGTCAGAATTTGTGTTGTATATCTCGGGAACAAGCATTGATCTACATCTTACTCAGATCTAAGGATACATTTATTGTCTCCCCGAAACCCCTGATGGACTTGTGTGCGAGGATAACTTAAATTAAGGAATTCAGCAGTAATCATTCAATTGAAAGTGCCCACATTGGATATTAAGATCAGGCGTTCAAGATTAAAAATGTCAACACGAAAGTTCGGATATCTAAAACTTTTTGACCTTCAAAATGTTGCATAAAGGTCGAGAGTTTTTAAGAGTATGGACTTAAAGGGAGTGTTCGCGAAAAATAAAAGTGGGTATAGGCGTTTGGCGAAAAATAATCGCTTTTGATTGATACTAATCTTACTTCTATCTGTTGCGTCTATAAGGAGAACATAGTTAAAAACGGACTTATACTGAAGAACGTAGCGTCCATACAAATTCAGAAAATTGCAATAATATACGACTCGTATCGTAAAATAATCAATTTAATTTTAAACAAATTATTTATATATTACAACCTCAAGTCATCGATTATTTTACGAATTCGTAAATAGTTTATTTTCATGATTTCTGTCATTTGTTTTTTTATACAATGCACAATTAGAACGACTTTTTTCCGCTAGGTGTCTCTGTCACATGTAAGCATTGAGAGCAGACACATCTGGCGGCCACCTATTGTGGCGTTTTAAGTGCATAGGATACAAAATGAATAAAAATTATGATATATTGACTATATACGAATGCGTCGAAAAATAATCGATGACTATAGGTTGTAATATCTGAATGATTCGTTAGAAATTGAATAAATTTTAATACGATCCGAGTAGAGCATTGAAACGTTCTGAATTTGTGTAGACGCTACGTACTTCAGTATAAGTCGTTTTTAACAATTTTCTCCTTATAGATGCAACAGATTGAAGTGAGATCAGTAGCGATCAAAGGCGATTATTTATTATAGGCTATACTCACTTACATTTTTCGCGAACACTCCCTTTAATACACTGAACGTAATTTCATGTGACGCATCGGCTGTTGAGTGGCATTACTCCATTTTGAAAGAATATCTAATGATACAGTTTATAATCAAGAAATGATGACTGCAATTTTCAATGTAGTCTCAAAAAAAGTACATAACATTCCGCCAATAAGGCTAAACCTTAAGCATCCTAACTTAAATAAATAAAAATTGATACATCTTGCAAGACGATTGAAAAACTTAAGGTACAATCAACATATATTTATTTGATCACTTTAAAATAATCACATAAAGCATTAAATCTAAATAAAATAATACATTTAAGACGTATAAATATATATGTAAGATCTTAGTAAAGTTTGGAAGATAGAACATGTTTTGTATATATCAATAAAACAAAACTCTAATGGCCAATAATACAGTTGCACCCCTATAATGATAGGATTACAACAATTAAATAGAAGAAACGCAAATATCATGATTAAGAAATATCTTAACGTATCACAGTATATCAAAGTACATAGATTTAGTGCCGGGGCAACAGGTTTAAAACTTAATCATTGTGCATCACAGTTTTTTCACACTAAAGTCTTTTTTACACAACCCCCCCCCCATCCAAAACTTACGCCGTATTAATTGAAAACGGGATATTTTCTAAAACTGACTTGAGTTTTTGTGCATTTTATCTATTTCACAAAATTCCCTTCTCTAAGATAAGATTTTAGGGGTGATATCTTTCTTATCACCAACATATCAAATAACAAATTTTCTACAATGATGTTCATTGATCACGAACTACGATATCCAAAATAAAGGATTTTCGAACTTTCATAAATCCCGGTTTAAAAGATAAAAAAATACTTATTGTATTCGGAACAATTGATGTTCCAAAAATCTATAAAACTTTGTCACCTTTTTCTCAGCATCAGCGACCAGTGATTAAAAAACGACGATCCTTTAGTAGAAGAAGGTACACACTAAGGTTAGCGTGAACTAGTACAGCAAATGTGTGCGTTTACTTCTTTATGTACAACTGTACACGGGTACGGAATGTGAATGAGGTTTTGTGTCCTCATATGCTGGAGCAAATGATTAATTCTGGTTTATAGTTCCAGTTGTTTGATTTCAGGCAGAAACCGCTCCCAATGCGAAACCAGGTTTTCTTGTGCTCTGAGAATAAAAGAAAAACTGTTAGTATTCATTTTTCAAATTTTTAGCTGTATCAAAATAAACTTAAACTTTTCTTTTTTTGCCTGTAAAACCTGTTATTATAAAATATGCAAACTGAAACTTGATTTATTCTAGACTCCCCCAGGAGTTTATGTGATGGCCTTTCATGTTTCAATACTCTTGTACCATGAGTTCAACGATCTGATGTTTCAGATCTGGAAGTCCGGCTTTGGACTAGAACAGGTTAGTGCTACCAAACTTACGGTGGAATATGAAGACGGCAGTTAGATTCAAGTTAACAAATCAAGAGGTCCAATCTCGAATGGAAATCAATAAACACAAAATTTTTGCATTGTGCAGTCTTCACTTGCCTATTTCACTTTTTCTGAAGCTACTTGTAACGCTTGCTTAATAACAATATTAATATCTCCCTATTCTACAGCTGTAGGGGTCCCACTGTAAGAACCATCAAAAGAACTTTATAATAAATTAACTTACTTGAGCATCTTCTCCAAATATTTGACAATCGTCTGCCTAAAGTCCTGGTTCTTCCTGGCCTCGAACACCTCGAACTCCTTTTTGATAGTTCGCGAGATCTTCTCGAAGTTCTCCTGCGCCATGTCCAACTGTCTTTCCGTTTCTTTTATTCCATTACTGAAATAATTAGTTAATGAAAAATAACTATACAAAATTAGAAAAACTGGCAAAATTAACTTGAATAGTGACAAATGATTATAATTATCATTATTATTATTATTACTATTATTATGATAAATAACTAGAAGTGGACCAAAACTGATGAAATTGTGTAGAACTGGAAAAGAAGTATAAATAAACAAGAAATGGAGAAAATTTAATAAATTGACCAAAAAAATTCTTACTTTATTTCCTGAACCTTCTCCAGCTTTCCTCCAAGCTCTGCTCTCGCCTTCCCTTCTCTCCTCTTATTCAGATCTTTCTAAAAATAAACAATTGTTGATTTCAATTGTTTATTTTTATTAGGTAAAAATTAAATACTAATATAATAGTACAGCTCCTATGCAAAACATGCTAAATCCCTAATTTTCGACTTAAAATCAACATTGTTTAATAGTTCTGTAAAGTACACAGAATTATTGATAAAGAAACTTTTATCTGATTCTGATCAGAAGTCAGAACCTTTGGGATGTGCATCTCGGGATCAACAATTTATCAATATCTTAATCAAGTTTCATTTCATATTTGTATTCAACTACAAAGCATGAGATATTACAAATAAGCAATCACAATTTACTATAGAGTTTGGACCCGCCTAACCAGAGTAAGTTCTTTTGAGTGGTTGACCCTATGTTAGTTAACGATACAAAATGTTAAATGGTTTCACACATCAAGTAATGTTTTTGTATAGATAAGGAGTTAATTGGAAGGAAGGAGATTGTCAAGTAATCTGTGGCAGGGTGAGATCGGAGGGATTAATGTAGAGATAAATCAAAATACAGGGTGTTAAGGATACAGAAACAGAAATAAGCAATAAGTTTCAGTTTTTAAAGTTTTTTAAAATATATTTATTCACACGATATACAGCTAGGTTTTTCGCATTTAAACCTCTCATAATTCTCAAGATAAATATTGATTACTCATTGTTTAAATATTTTTGTAGATTTAGTTTCTTTAAGCTGAATTTCAATTGCATTCCACAATTTAGGAAACATGGCGGACGGAAAGCTTTCTAGGTTTTTGTTTAAAACCCGTTCTAATTTATATGATTTTGTTATATTCGGTTCAGCTAGAGACATAAACATATTTTGGAAGGAAGAGGGAAGGTTATCATTATAGTATCCATGCATAAATGTCAGAACACAAAGTTTGTATGTATCATCAAGATTAAGAACTTTCGGTTTGGAAAATAATGGATTTGAATGTGGTTAGAAAGTACTATTAATATGCGCTCTGATTGCCTTGTTTTGCAAAGATCTGATTTTTTTGCAGTTTAGAGTTTTTACCCCCTCCCCAAGCAACAATTCCATATTCGATATGAGGCCTTACAAGAGAGTTATAAACAAGTAGACGAATATTTAATGGTAAGATATTCTTAATTTGAGACAAAGCAAAGATTGAGCTAGCAATTTTATTCGAGATATGTTCAATTTAAAAATCCCAGTTTAAAAATTCGTCAAGTTTAAGTCAAACAAATTTGAAATATTCGCACAGTCATTACCAATTCTTTCCTATTGATATATTACAACTGTTGGGGTAAAAGTGCATATTTTTATTTCTAAATACTATAGACTTTGTATATACTCCATTTATACACACAAATTGAGTTCTGTTAACAAAATAATTTTTAAACCAGGTGTTGGCCACATTTTTGAAACCATAATGAATTGTCTAAATCACAACAATCAAAAGCTTTATTTGAGTCTAGGAATATTCTAACTTCTAAGTGTAAATTCTGGTCAAGATTTATTAAGGTTTTCATAGATTTTATTCATTAAGCGCAAAAGTGGTTGATTTGTGTTGTGTGTAGGTCTAAATTTTTTTTAGAGAAAATTATAGAATTAAGTAAGATCCAGGTTTTTTATATCTTCTGAATATTCTTGAAACTTTGAGTAAAAATAACTGTCTTTGGCCTTTTTTATCAAAGAACGATAAATAATGTTGTATTTTCTGAAAGCAGATATATTTATAGGATTTGGATTTTACATTTCTTTCTTAATCAAATCAAATCAAATCAAATCATCATATTTAGGGATTGCTTTAGGCTCCCGCATACAGGGTGAGGTTTCAATTCACTGTGTACTTAGGTTTTTCAGCCTGGATCTATATAAAGTTTGTGTTCCTATTACTCCTGCTCGACTTGAAAACATTAAAACCCGATAGGATCCCAGCAGCCGACCAAATTTGAGCCATGCCTCCATTTTACGGAACCTATCATTTGTAAATTTGCCATACATGCATAGTGTTAAAGACAAATGATGGGTGACCTCCCTAATGGATATCAAAAACTTTGTTAGTTGGTATTTAAACCGTAGCATAAGCTTATTATTGGTTTTAGTATAGGGATAATTTTGAATTAAAATTCTTTAAAGTAGAATTTACACTGGAAATTTAAATCTATATAGAGAAGTAAAATTTATATTGAAAGTTGTAAAACTCTATTTTATATCTATTTATTATTTGACATATTTCAAACGTTAGTAAGATTTCTATATAAATTAAAATAAAAACATGGCTTTGCCAAGATGTTGTTTGATAACGTGACATGGAAAACCAAGAATAAAACATGGCTATGCCAAGAGGATTAATATTGGGTAAATAGTTTTTCTTTATTTTTTCTAGACACTAGCAAAGCAGATGTAAACCAAGGGTTGATGGGGTTTTTATTTTTGTTTGGTTTTGACTGTATTAAGGGAAAACTATCTTCATAAATATTATTTTAAGTGCTGGAAAATTCAGAAAATGCAGTACCAGGGTCTTCCTTTATCTTCATAAATGTCCAGTCATTTAGTTGCAATTTAGTTTTATTTTCAATTGAATTATTTCTAATTAAAATTGGATGACTCTCAGGAATATCTTTATTTTGAGGGCACATTTAAACGAGAAAAAAGGTACATCTATATATAAATTTGGCTTGTCTGTCTGTTTGTTTGTCTGTTTGTTTGTATCCAATAAACGTCAAAACGGCTGAACCGATCGGGCCCAAATTTTTTGTGGGACATCTAGGGACCCCAGGGAAGGTTTATGAAAAATCAAAATTTCAAATATTTGTCTCTATCAAAATTCGATCGTCATTAAATTTTTTAAAATTTTGAAAATCCGCGATTTTAAATCTAGGTTTGAAATAGAATAAATGTGAATCCAGAAGTCAAGAATCGACCTACATCTTATGCAGACCAAAGGATTAATCCCGCGTTGGTCAATGGTCATACCCTGCAGGGATAACTTTTATTAAGGGATCAAGCGTTAATCCACAAATTTTAAAAACCACATATTGAATATAGAGATTTAAAAGCGTTCAAGACTAACGAAACTGCACAAATGTTCCTATCTCTGGGGGTTTCCATGAAAAGTGAGAATCCGAAAAACGACACAAAACAAACACTTGTAAAAAGTTAATCAATAAATTTGTCCACTTTCAAATGAGAAAAGGCATACGACAGGAAAATAGTTTCTTACTTGTACTCCCTGCCATGCTTGCCACGCCTTCAATCTCTCATTTAGAACATCTTTGACAGATCCTACTATACCGATGTAATCATGAACCAACTCCGACAACAAGAAGAAGTCGTCCTAACAACAGAACAGAAATTAAAGAATATTTAGAATCAAGATCGTTTAAAAAATTTAAATTAATGTTAAAATTGAAGATTTTTTATTGAAAGTTACTTGGCATTTCGATCAAGATCAAAATTTGTCAATGCCAAACCCGGATTCAAGTAAAATTAATTAATGAAACTGGTTTTAATTCTTACAAAAAAAGAAATTTTAAAAGATTTTTTTTTTTAATGTTCTTCAACTTGAATTACATTTTTACAATTGACAACTCTTTCAAATAATCCTTTACCTTCGCTTGCTCCTCGTGAACCTTCTCAACCTTCAGATAAACCTCAGAGAGTTGATCTAGAACAGCTGACAGCTTAGTATTCTCCTCAGTGTTCCCCAGAGCAGCTGTAATATATATATTTAGATAAACCTCAGAGAGTTGATTTAGAACAGCTGACAGCTTAGTATTCTCCTCGGTGTTTATAAATAAATGATACAAGAAAGCTAACAGTTTTATATCCAAAGCAGTTGCAATTGCTATATAGTCATTGGAGAAGTATACTAGAACAGCTGACAGTTTATATTTTCCAAAGTAGCTGCAATTTATATATTTTCATGGCATTGCATCTTTGTGTGGAGGGTCACTTTAAACTACGCTTCCCGTCACTTTAATTTCATAATAAAAATGACTATTATAGTTAATGATGCGCAATTACTCATCTCGAAGTTGAATTAAATGTGAGAAAATGTGAGAAAAGGAAAATGTAACATTTGATAAAACGGCCTACGCCTACCTAATCCTTTAGCTACTGTATATGTGTGCCCAGTTAAAGATTTTCTGTAGTAGACAAGAGCTTCTGTAGCAGTCAGTAGCTTCCTTAGTTGCAGATCTAGATTCTCAACCTTAAACAAATCCCAATCAATGAATTAACTTGTTCAAAAATCAACTAATCAATGACTAAGTTAGTTTAAACCAGTGTGTAGGATCTGAATCCGTTGGATCCACAACATTTTGACTACCTGGATCCGGATCCGCAAAAAGATAAGCCTGGAANGGACTCGGATCAAAATGTAATACGATTAACTCACATAAAGTTTGGAAATTGTAAAGCTCTAAACATAGTTCTCCAAGCAGTTAACTGAAATTGCAGATTTGTCCTCCATGACAAAAATATCAAATACAGGGTGTCCCAAAAAACATGGGAATTCAGTAACGAATGTGATATCGTCTTTTCAGATAATTATTTGATTTAGTATAGTAATACCTACTGAGAAAGCTGTAATCTGTAAGAGTTTCGTCTGCTATGTTTACATTTTGTTTGTTTATGTTTTGACTGCAACCGGTTGTACTTAGTAAAACAAGAAAATTACAGAATACAAACAGAGTAAACTTGTCCGAATTCACTGTTCATCTTGGGAGACATTATAGACACATCTTTGCAGTCTTTTACCCTTTTCATAAAATAAACTCTAGCAGACATAATAATAATGGCTTTTGAAATTAGGTATTACAATGCTAATTCATAACAAAGACGATATCGAATTCGTCACTGAATTCCCATGTTTTTTGGGACACCCTACTACAAAATGTCCGACCTGATAAAAATTTGAATTGAAGAACAGACAAAATATTTACCATGACAGTTTTTTCCTCGAACCACTGATCCGTTTCATCCATTTTAGTTGTGTAAGCGGTCATTTTATCTCCAACCTTAAGTTTATACTCATAAAAATAAAATGCATTTCGAGTTTTTTAGAAATAAAAAAATTAAATCCAATTTAACAAAATGGTGAAAAATAATTTAAAAACTAAAGATAATTTTTCTTCATACTTTGTTTCCAATTTTGACGCAAAGAAAAATAAAACAAGATGATTGAGATAAAGATTGAAGTCTGAATAAAAGTGATCTAATTTAATTACCTTAGATATTATTTTCATAATATTCTTATTTGAGAGAGCAGCAGTAGAGTTAGCTTTAGGAAGCTCAGCGTCTAGCTCTAGAAACTCCCTAAGGTAAACAATGTTTATAAATCAAAGAATATTAGGGTCAAAATGACATAAAAATTAAAAATAACTATTTAATAATTGATTAAAGATGTATTTACTTCAGTTAAAAAAGACCTTTTTACTGATTTTTTACTTTTGAACAATTATTTATGTTCTTTTAAGATCTTTTAAAAATTTTCTTCTTCTCATTTTAAAGACCCTCCTTCGTGGGCCTACCTGAAGTCGGGATCAACTCTAAGGTTCTGATGTGCTGCTGTTCTGTTCAGATATCTCTCAAGCGCAGCGCGTCGCTTCTCAACAAAGTCTTAAAACATGTTTTAACAAATCATTACTAGATATACCCGACAAAAAAAGATAGAAAGATTGATTTTTTAACGCTTTTAAAATCAGGGGTATTCATATTTTGAATATTCATTTCAATTTCTATAAAAATCATTTTTTCCCAAGGAATGTTTTCAAAGTTTGTTCGATGAATTGGTCCAAAATAAATGATTTGAGTAGCATCAAAATTGGAAGAAAAAACTTTTTTTGTTCTTAAAAAACTACGTCCCTGTATTTATGTAATTTTGATTTACCTGACTGATCCGAGACATCATCTTCCTTCGACATTTTGACCTTGGTCATACCCAGGACAGATTTGTCTGGGGCAGGAGGGATAATACGACCATTCTGCAGATACTTCTCAGTTAGCTTATCACGTAAACCTACAAATAAAAAATAAAAAAATAAAATGTAAAGATTATTTCCCCTAACTTTGTTTTTAAAGGTGCGCGCACGGACATCTAAGCCTTTGGAGGTGATTTTTTTTAGCGCATATTTGTTTCAAGAGTGCAGTGCCAGGAAAAATGTTCAAGTGCAATTAATGAAGTTCACATTGATTTACTGTCAGAAAAGTCGCATTTTTCACAACTTTTGCTCTGATTCCTTCAAAGCCAAAAAATGCATGTAATATACATAATTCTGAGTTTGCATGCAAAAATCAGCCTCCTAAGACAATGTTATGTTTAAACACTGTTTAAAATTTTCGGAGAGTAATACGTTTCATGCCCCCCTTAATATATAAAGAAGAATGTATAACCTTACCGAGGAAATCTGAAAATCTTCTTGTAACGACGGACTCCTTCTTCTTGAAGAATGAGAGGTTGGTCTTCGTGTTAACCTTGAAAGCCATAAAGGAATTCATCCCGTCTCCAACCTTAACAAAGTACTTACTACTTATCAAATTTATGATAGTGGCGAAAAGTTTCATTTCAGACGTCTTCCCATAATAAAAGGAATAAAGATTTGGCTAAAAATCTGTCTTATCTCAATAGTCGCAATACTAAGTTAAAGCATTACATTAAAAACCCAATGTTAAAACATCCCGGGTAAAACCAGTGTTCAAGTTTGATGCGGATACGAACCAAAACCGGACTCGGATCAAACGCATGACAATTTCTTTTAGTTTTGCAGGTTTCTGTTATCTAATAAGTTTAAAGTACTATTTTTTATATACAGAAACTTGATTTGCTATTTAATGTTAAGGAAGGCTATTTGGTTAACAATAAAAATTGTTAGCTTAAAAGCAAACAGCCCATCCGATGTTTTACTTGAAATTTTGCCCCTTAGATCTGGGTTTGTGGATCTGCATTTTAAAAGACCCAGATCCAGGGAATTCAAATAATTCGGATCAAAGCGCTGAAAAAGCTTCTCTCCCATTTGAAACCACTATGTGGGTTTATTACCTTATGTGGTGAGGTAATCGTAATATCAATATATTCATCTCCTCCCTCCAGCTCATTTCTAGCGGTCAGATCATGAAATGACGTCACTAAAACATGAAAACACACTAATGAGATCAAATAATATAAAAGTAAGGATTGCTTGCTGTAAATAAAATGCTGTAAAAAACCGAAATTATATTAAATTCGTTAACAGAAATATGGTTTTTTAGTGAAATAAAAATGCAAATTTAGCTTATTTGAGAGCTATAAATAAGGATTATAAAAACTTACATGTAGCTGGTTGTGAGAGCTGTTAATAAGGATTATAAAAGCTTACATGTAGCTGGTTGTGAGAGCTGTAAATAAGGATTATAAAAGCTTACATGTAGTTGGCTGTGAGAGCTGTAAATGAGGATTATAAAAGCTTACATGTAGCTGGTTGTGAGAACTGTAAATGAGGATTATTAAAGCTTAGATGTAGCAGGTTGTGACAGCTGTAAATGAGGATTATAAAAGCTTACATGTACCTGGATGTGAGAGCTGTAAGTGAGGATTAAAAAAGCTTGCATGTAGCTGGCTGTTAGAGCTGTAAATGAGGATTATAAAAGCTTACATGTAGCTGGTTGTGAGAAAAGTAAATGAGGATTATAAAAGCTTACATGTAGCTGGTTGTGAGAGCTGTAAATGAGGATTATAAAAGCTTACATGTAGCTGGTTGTGAGAGCTGTAAATGAGGATTATAAAAGCTTACATGTAGATGGTTGTGAGAAAAGTAAATGAGGAAGGGATATTATAATATAAAGGGGGGTGGATGAAAGGTGTCATGTATAGACATTTAAACTTTAAAGTTTTTATTTATTTATAACACAGGCATGGCCTCTTTTGACCTCTAAGAGGCCTTAGAAAAAACGAGAAGTCCGACCCGGCTGCACCCCCATTAGATAATGACATGTGAACCTCAGGGTCACATGCCGGGGGCCTGTTAGGCTCGTATACTGGTAAATACGTCCTGGGTCTGGCTGCATGCTGTAATTCGCATCATGCAGCCCAGTGATAAGATCTTGAAAAGTAAAGCAACCAAACCTATCAAATCCGTTTTGAGTGTTAGGTTTTGATATCTCCGGTTGTATCCTGGATACAGGATCCGGGATATTGGATACAGGATCTTGAATCGTGGACTGAAACAGGTCGTCGTCTTCGTCCTTCAATTAATAATAAATTCGTTCAAGAAAAAACTGAAGTGTTCAGAATAATAAAGAATTTTTACTTTTCATCAGGGCAGGAAAAATGACTCCAAACCCCCCGTTCCGTTAACTAAGATCACAATTAACCAAATCTTAAAACAGAAATATTTCAAGAATTATTTAGATTGCCTTGAGATCTATTTCAGTATCCAGAGGAATTTCAGTACTTCCGGCATCCTCCTAAACAATTGATTAAAATAATTTTTTATTCTTATTCATAGTTATTAAAAATGACTAATTGATCATTACTGATTTAAAATCAACTATTTCAATCCTACTTAATGGAACTTTTGACGGGGAAGGGGGGGATAAGAAACAAAGACCTACATTAAAGTGTTCAGTTC